CCAACCAAAACATACTAAGGAAATGAAAACAACACTCACTCAACCCCTCCCTGCCCCCCCCCCCCCCCCCCCCCCCCCCAGGGGAACAGTAAGTTCTGGAAGGCACCAATTGTCTTGAAGAGGAGTATCAGACACAGAGTACATTTTAAGGGATATCCATTATTAGGACTTCAAGGAGAAAGCAAGAGGCGCTGGGGTCAAAAGCAGTTTATTTAAAACGTCATTTGTGATCGAAATATCGGAGAGGAAAACCAATTGCGTATTACAAGTTTACTGACCTATAGGTCCGCTACCAACTTGTTTAAACAAATAGACAAAACAACGTGCCGCTCCTTGGCGCACAGTGCAACGTGAATTTTGACATTCTAGATACCTTTCCAAAGTTATTTATTAAGCTAGCGCAGAAAAATCATAAATTCCTTACTTCAATACGAACTAAACATACACACCTAATAATGATGTTTTGGCCGGATTTCTGTAAACACTTGTTTTTTTCCTACTTCTGTTACAGCGAAGAAAGCGGCTCGTGTAACACACGCTACCGTGTTCAAAGTACTGATCTGATCCGAGAGGACTGAATTCGGTTAATAATTGAGAGGAGGGGGGAGGGGGTTTTCAAGTATTTCCGCGTCGAATTAAGGTTAGTTGTTAAAATTCCGTTCTTCATTTTAGTAATTAGCTTTATAGTCTGTAGTTTGAAGTCATGATGTCCTGACTTTCGAAATAATAGGGACCTTCCGCAAAACACGACGGCAACGGTAAAACAATAAACTTGTTGACCAGCACAATGATTCTTTACTTGCATTTGCACCTTTGTAAATTTATTAGCTGTCCTTTGCAAGTCAAAAAAGTGAAATAACCAATATTCATGTTTTTTGGAGAACACGAACCACTACGGCTTATTTTTCTCAGTCCTATTTGAAACTGAACGCTTTCCTAGCACATTGAGCGAAATTCTCAAGTAAAATGTAAGTGCGTCTTCCTAAATTGGCGTAGTCTTAGCCGCCGCCGTCGAATATGCGTAAGGTCTATCCCTTTAGCTACAAGAATTTATGCTCCTCTCGCTCTTTCTCTAGCACATTTCATAATCCTCCAGACCTCTTCCAGATCACGTACTTGCTAGTCTCTTCCTGTCACGTCCTATTTATGATCAGTAACTTGCGGGTCTTTCACTTTCTTATCCTCTTCCTGATCAAAATCTTGTTGGCCTTTCCCTTTTATGTCCTCTTCCACATCAGAATCTTGTTGGTCTATTGCTTTCTGGTCCTCTTCCTGATCAGAATCTTGTTGGTCTTTCGCTTTTTTGTCCTCTTCCACATCAGAATCTTGTTGATTTTTCCGTTTCTTGTTCTCTTTCAGATCAGAATCTTGTTGGTGTTTCGCTTTCTTGTCCTCTTCCACATCAGAATCTTGTTGGTCTTTCGTTTTTTTGTCCTCTTCCACATCAGAATCTTGTTGATCTTTCGCTTTCTTGTTCTCTTCCACCTCAGAATTTTGTTGGTCTTTCCCTTTCTTGTCCTCTTCAACCTCAGAATCTTGTTGGTCTTTTGCTTTTTTGTCCTCCTCCACATCAGAATTTTGTTGGTATTTCGCTTTCTTGACCACTTTCTGATCAGAATCTCTTTGGTCTTTCGCTTTCTTGTCGTCTTCCTGATCATAATCTTGTTGGTCTTTCCCTTTCTTGTCCTCTTCCACATCAGAATCTTGTTGATCTTTCGCTTTCTTGTCCTCTTCCTGATCAGAATCTTGTTGGTCTTTCCCTTTCTTGTCCTCTTCCAGATCAGAATCTTGTTGATCTTTCGCTTTCTTGTTCTCTTCCACATGAGAATCTTGTTGGTCTTCCGCTTTTTTGTTCTCTTCCAGATCAGAATCTTGTTGGTCTTTCGCTTTCTTGTCCTCTTCCTGATCAGAATCTTGGTGGTCTTTCCCTTTCTTGTTCTCTTCCACATCAGAATCTTGTTGATCTTTCGCTTTCTTGTTCTCTTCCAGATCAGAATCTTGTTGGTCTTTCGCTTTCTTGTTCTCTTCCTGATCAGAATCTTGGTGGTCTTTCCCTTTCGTGTCCTCTTCCACATCAAAATCTTGTTGGTCTTTCGCTTTCTTGACCTCTTCCTGATCAGAATCTTGTTGGTCTTTCCCTTTCTTGTCCTCTTCTACATCAGAATCTTGTTGGTCTCTCGCTTTCTTTTCCTCTTCCAGATCAGAATCTTGTTGATCTTTCCCTTTCTTGTTCTCTTCCAGATCAGAATCTTGTTGGTCTTTCCCTTTCTTGTCCTCTTCCTGATCAGAATCTTGTTGGTCTCTCGCTTTCTTGTCCTCTTTCTGATCAGAATCTTGTTGGTCTTTCGCTTTCTTTTTCTCTTCTAGATCAGAATCTTGTTGATCTTTCGCTTTCGTGTTCTCCTCAAGACCAGAATTTTGTTCGTCTTTCGCTTTTTTGTTCTCTTCCAGATCAGAATCTTGTCGATCTTTCTTTTTCCTGTTCCCTTCCAGATCAGAATCTTTCACTTGTCCTTGCAGATCAGCAATGTGTTGGTCTCTCGCTGTCACTTCTCTTTGCAGCTCAACAAGTTGTTGGCCTCTTGCTGTCTGTTGTCTTTGCAGATCAGAAACTTGCTGGACTCTTGCTGCCACTTCTTGTTCTAGATTGTTTACTTGTTGGTCTTTTGCTGTTATTTGCCTTTGCAGATCATCTACTCGTTGGTCTCTCGCCATTACGTCTTCTTCGAGATCAGTCACCTGTTGGTTTTTCGCTCTAATTTGTCTTTGCAGAACAGTAACTTGTTGGTCCTTTGCTGTCACCTGTCTTTGCAGATCAGAAACGTGTTGGTCCCTCGCTATCACGTCTTCCTCTAGATTAGTTACTTGTTGGCCTCTAGCTGTGACTTGTTCTTCTAGATCAGCCAGCTGGTGGTTTGTCACTGTCAGTTGTCTTTGCAGATTATTTACTTGCTGGTCTCTCGCTATCACGCCCTCTTCCAGATCAGCTACTTGTTGGTCTCTCACTCGAACTTGTCTTTGGAGATCAATAACCTGTTGGTCTCTCGTTGTTACCTCTTCTTCCAGATCGGTAACTCGTTGGTCTCTCACTTCAAGTTGTGTTTGCAAAACATTAGCCTGTTCGTCTCTGTCTCTCCTTTGCCCTTGTACATGTAGATGAATAACTTGCTGATATCTCGCTGGCAGTTGTCTTTGCAATTCAGTTACTTGCTGGCATCTCGCGGTCAGTTGCCCATGTAGATCGTTAACGTCTTGGTATCTCGCAGTCAGTTGCCCGTGCAGATCAGTTGCTTGTTCGTGTCCCGAGATAACCTCTTCTTGCAGAAAAGTTATCAGTTGGTCTCTCGCTGCTAGTTGCCCTTGAAGATNTGTCCTCTTCCACATCAGAATCTTGTTGGTCTTTCGCTTTCTTGTCCTCGTCCACATCAGAATCTTGTTGGTCTTTCGCATTCTTGTCCTCTTCCACATCAGAATCCTTTTGGTCTTTCGCATTCTTGTCCTCTTCCACATCAGAATCTTGTTGGTCTTTCCCTTTCTTGTTTTCCTCCAGATCAGAATTTTGTTGACCTTTCCTTTTCTTGTTCTCTTCCTGGTCAGAATCCTGTTGGTCTTTCACTTTCTTGTTCTCTTCCAGATCAGAATCTTGTTGATCTTTATCTTTCTTGTCCTCTTCCACATCAGAATCTTGTTGGTCTTTTGGTTTCTTGTCCTCTTCCTGATCAGAATCTTGTTGGTCTTTCGCTTTCTTGTCCTTGCAGATCAGTAACGTGTTGGTCACATCTCTTTGCAGTTCAGCAAGTTGTTGGTCTCTTGCTGTCTGTTGTCTTTGCAGATCAGAAACTTGCTGGACTCTTGCTGCCACTTCTCGTTCTAGATTGTTTACTTGTTGGTCTTTTGCTGTTATTTGCCTTTGCAGATCATCTACTCGTTGGTCTCTCGCCATTGCGACCTGTTGGTCTTTCGCTCTAATTTGTCTTTGCAGAACAGTAACTAGTTGGTCCTTTGCTGTCACCTGTCTTTGCAGATCAGAAACGTGTTGGTCCTTCGCTGTCACGTCTGCTTCTAGATTAGTTACTTGTTGGCCTCTAGCTGTGACTTGTTCTTCTAGATCAGTTAGCTGTTGGTTTGTCACTGTCAGTTGTCTTTGCAGATCATTTACTTGCTGGTCTCTCGCCATCACGCCTTCTTCCAGATCAGCTCCTTGTTGGTCTCTCACTCGAACTTGTCTTTGCAGATCAATAACCTGTTGGTCTCTTGTTGTTACCTCTTCTTCCAGATCGGTAACCCGTTGGTCTCTCACTTCAAGTTGTGTTTGCAAATCATTAGTAGCCTGTTCGTCTCTGTCTCTCCCTTGCCCTTGTACATGTAGAAGAACAACTTGCTGATATCTCGCTGGCAGTTGTCTTTGCAAGTCAGTTACTTGCTGGCATCTCGCGGTCAGTTGCCCATGTAGATCGGTAACGTCTTGGTATCTCGCAGTCAGTTGCCCGTGCAGATCAGTTGCTTGTTCATGTCCCGAGATAACCTCTTCTTGCAGAAAAGTTATCAGTTGGTCTCTCGCTGCTAGTTGCCCTTGAAGATCAGTAACCTGCTGGTATTGCGCTGTCCTTTGTCTTTGTAGATCGAACACTTTTTGTTCTCTCGCTATCAGTTGTCCTTGCAAATCGGTAACCTGTTGGTCACTCGTTAATACTTGTCTTTGAAGAGAATTAACTAGTTCTTCGTTGGCTGCCAATTGTCCTTGTAGATCAGAAACTTGTTCGTTGCTTTCAGTTAGTTGTTTTTGGAGATCAGCATCTTGTTGGTCTCTTGCTATCATTTCTCCCTTCAGGTCATTAACTTGTTCGCTGCGCGCTAACAATTGTTCTTGCAGATCAGTAACCTGTTTGTTGCTCACAGTCAGTTGTCCTTGCAGATCCGTAACCAGTTGGCGGCTGGTTGTCAATTGCCTCTGCAGATCAGGAACTTGCTCGCTACTCACTGCCACTTGTCCTTGAACATTTTTAATCTGTTGGTCTGTGTCCTGTTCTTGGTCGCTTGCGACCACTTTTTTTTGCAGATCAGTAACTTGTCCGTTGCTCGCTATAGGTTTTCCTTCCGGATCAGTAACGTGTTCGTTGCTCGCTGCCAGTTGTCCTTCCAGATCAGTAACATGCTCTTGTCTCGCGGTCTCTTGCCTTTGCAAATCAGTAGCTTCCCGGTCCTCTGCTGTTACTTGTTCTTGCAGATGAGTAGCTTGTTCATTGCTCGCTGTGAGTCGTATTTGTAGATCGGTAACTTGTTCGTCCGTTTGCCTCACTTGCTCTTGCAGATCACTAATTTGTTGGTCTCTCTGTGTAACTTGACCTTGCAGATCAATAACTTGTTGGTTGCTTGATGCCAGGTGTCCTTGCAGGGCAGAAACTTGTTCGTCTCTCGCTGTTGCATGTCGTTGAAGATCAATGACTTGCTTGTTTCTCGCTACCAGTTGTCCATGCAGATCAGCAGCCTGTTGGTATGTCACTGTCAGATGTCTTTCCAGGTAAGTGACTTGCTGGTTCATCACTGTTAGTTGTCTTTGCAACTCAGCTAATTGCCTCTCTTTTTCCACCAGTTGTTCCTGTCTTGCGCTTAATTGACTTTGTAGGTAAATATCTCGTTCTTGTTCTCGTCGTAATTGTTCCTCTATGTTTGCCATATCTGCCTCCTTTCTTTGTAACTGCCCTTGCAAGTTGGACAATTGCGTCTGTGTCGTTACCAGTTCTTGCTTTGTTGTGCTTAACTGTCTTTGCAGGCCAATAACACGATGTTTTTCCTCTCGTACCTGTTCCTTTAAGGTTGCTCTGGCTCTTTTTCGTTCGCGTGATTGTTCTTTCAAATCAGTCAGTTGGTTCAGTCTGTCTGCATCTCGTTGTAGCGCCAATCTAAATTGCTCCTCCACCTGTATCATATTTGTGCTCTTTTCTTCCAACTGTTCTTGCAAATTACTCAACTGTCTGTGCAGATCAGCGATTTCTTGCTCTCTGACTGGTAGTTGTCTTTGCAGATCGATTAATTCCGTTTGACTCCTTACCAGTTGTTGCTTTGTCGTGCTTAACTGTCTTTCTAAGTCGATCACTCGTCCTCGTTCCTCTGTTAACTGCTTCTTTGAAGTTTCCTTATCTGTGCTGCTTCGTTCTAGTTGTCGCTGCAAGTCAAACACTTCCGTTTGGTATTCTACCATTTTTTTCTTCGCAGTGATTAACTGTTTTCGCAGGCTACTAACTCGATACTTCAGAGTCGTGTTATCTGTTTCGCTGTCTCCTAGTAACTGTCTTAGCGGGTTAGTCAAAAGATGTCCCATCTCTGTCACCTTTTGCGTAAAAATGCGAAATCGTCTTCTTATTGTTCTTCAGGGACTTCTGTCAACTGTGTCGTCTTGCTTGGTCCTAAGCTGTTTCTTGCACTCCACTGCAAACTTTTCCTCTTTAGGAACCCCTCAATTACTCATCTCTCATGTCAATTTCTCATCAACTATATTGCCAGGGCTTGGTGCATGACTCTATTAAGTGTTGTTTTCTAGTTCTTGAATCTTCATTCCTTTTTAATTGTCCAAGTGAGAATGCTTCAACTGATTTTTTAACTGTTAAACCTAGTGAATCAAAAGAATACCGCAAAATTAGATCATAAGCCCCCGAAATTGGAATCCCCTTCCCAAAGGCCAGGATTCTTCAGTTAGGTCAGCATGAAGAATCAGACGTTAGGGCGTTAGAGCGTGAGGTCACCGCTTTCCCGTAGCGGCGCGGACTCTGGCGAGGAGTTTGCCCCAGATAGGCCCTCTTGAAATAAGTCCCACAAAGTTAAGAGGCTGTCCGTGTAAGAACCGACCACTTGATTTTCGGCTGGAAACAGAATTTCTTCAAATTTTCTGTGTGAGACAGTCAGTCCATATGATAAACAAAAATAGCAATAATTTGGCTTAAAGTGCTATTTTTCAATATTTCTGGCGTCGATTTCCGAGTACGGTCCAAAATCGT